CCCTTACCCTGCTCAGCTCATCACTAGTGAGAGGCAGGTGAGTTAGGTCACTTCAGACCCAGGTACCAAGGAGAGGAAAACTCCTGGGAAGAACAGACAGACTGGCTGTGGGCAACTGTCCTGGGCTTGTGAAGATGCTTCGCTCCGGTCCTGCACCCCACCAGCTGTAAGGGTGGGCCGGGCCAGGCCAGGCGGGGCCTGGAATACTCTGCATTTGCTGCTTCTTTAACCACTTTCTTTGGCCTCCCTAGACAAACATGTCTCATAGGGAATAATAAATACTAGTATATGAAGTACTGTCCCCCTTGTCCCCCATTCCCATCTCTTTCTGGAAGGGACAAGGACTGCTTGTGCTTGGCCATACTCAGCACACAAGTGGATAATGCTGACGACATGTGAGTGTGTGCCTTAACCCACCCCCTCTCTCCAGCCAGAAAGGAATTCTATTACAGGTTAAATGGGGGTGTGGGAATGCCAAAGGCCACTTAGCGGTTGTTTTGGGTATTTTATAGTTGTTTTTTTTTTCATTTTTACTAAACCTAGAATTAGTGGAATATTACTAAATGGGCTCACATTAGAAAAGGAGTTCACAAGTCCACAAAGACACTGAGAAAGAAAGAAAGAAAGAGAGAGAGAGAGAGAGAGAGAGAAAGAGGAAAGAAGGGAGGGAGGAAGGAAGGAAGGGAGGGAGGAAGGGAGGGAGGGAGGAAGGAAGGAAGGGAGGGAGGAAGGGAGGGAGGGAGGGAGGGAGGGAGGGAGGGAGGAAGGAAGGGAGGGAGGGAGGGTACAGGGCACCAGTAGCCTTTAGCAGAATGTTTGTGGCTGTCACCCTTGTGATCAAGAGCTGAACTATTGCTGTACCTCTGGCCTCCCAGTATTGGAGTCACTCTACAGATACACAGACACTCAGTGGCACACACAGCACAACAGATACACACAATAGACATAGACACACACAGACACAGATACAGACACACACAGACACTCTCTCTTGCACTCACACTGGAAGCTTGGGGATCTGCTTGTTTTCCTCTCTGCCTGGGCCGACTGTCCCTCAGCCCTAGGCCTTGGCCCTGCCCCGGTCTTTCCCCTCCCTCCAAGATGGTCCTGAGTCTCTTCCAATTCTGTGTCGAGATCCCCAAAGAAGGACATTTAAAGGTGGGAGTCACTGATTGACTTGTGAACAGAAACGAAACAGCTCTCTTAAATGACCATTCATGCTAGTTGTATAATGTGTATACTACATACATCCTTATAAATAATTTATGCTTGCTAATGATACAATCATAAACAGCATAAAAATGATATATTTTGTAATTTCATTTAGGGAATTAATTTATAATTTAATCAGATTATTTGCTCGAGCGGGCCCAGTAACGTCTCCATTGGAGACTTTGTTGTTACTGTGTCTGGCACATCGAATACTCTCGGTAGCTTGCCGGGCTCTCCGAGAGGGGCGGAGGAATCGAACTCGGGTCGGCCATGTTGGCCGCATGTAAGGCGAATGCCCTACCCGCTGTGCTATTGCAACAAAGTCTCCAATGGAGATGTTACTGGGCCCGCTCGAGCAAATCGACGATCAACGGGAGGGCCTTTACTTTACTTTTACTTTAGTAACAACAAGTCTCAAAATGGAGACGTTACTGGGCCCGCTCGAGCAAATCGATGAACAACGGGAGGACAGTGCAGTGCTATGATAAATATCATATAACTACCATTGTGATGTAATGGCGCATCATGCATCTGGCACTCTGCCGTGCCCTTTGCATAGAGCCATTTGTTCCCCCTTCCCATGTACTTGCATTTACCTTTTCCTTTGTGGCTGCTGTCGCAGTGACTGGAGTCTCATGCCTGGTTGAGCCTTGTGGCGGGTACGCATAGGTGTGGTGCCCTCATGGTACGTTCGCTCAGACATGTACACAGCTGGCTCATGGCAGAGATGTTGCAGCTGGAGTATGATGGCAGAGCCGCTGAGATCGAGGTGGGCACATGTTGGTGGCACGAGAACCCCTGTATATATCCCTGGCCCCTAATATGCATTTTAAACAAAAAATGCCCTTTTTTTTTAGTTTGTTTTCTGTGTTTTTGTTGTCATATCCAAGAAATCATTGCCGAATCCAATGACATGAAGACTTTCCCCAGGGTTCTCTTCTTAGAGTTTTGTATTCTTCACTCTATTTTTGGGTGAGGATTGGGTCCCATCTGGTGGTTCTCAGGGCATAGTCCTGGTTCTGTGCTCAGGGATCACTCCTGGTAGGACGTAGGGGACAGGGTAGTGCCGGGGATTGACCCTGGCTCAGCTGCGTGCTTAGTAGGCAGGCATCTCAATCCCTGTGCTATGGTTTTTTTTTTTCATAATCGCTTTTTTTTTAATTAGTGAAACACCATGAGGTACAGTTGTAGACTTTTTCATGCTTGGGTTTCAGTTATACAGTGATCGAGTACCCATCCCTCCACCAGTGCCCATTCTTCACTACCGATGATCCCAGTACCCTCCCACACCCACCCCGCCCCTTTTGCTCACTCTTTCCTTTAGGGTGTGGTAGTTCGCCATCCCTGTCCTATGTTTTCAGGGTGCCCCACTCACCCACCCAGGCCTTTCGAAGTGACTTGCCCTTGGGTCCAGAATGATAGTACAGTGGTTGGCCGTTTAATTTAGAAGTGGCTGGCCTGGGTTCAATCTTCAGCATCCTATACGGTCCCCTGAGCAGCACCAGGAGCGATTCCTGAGTGAAGAGCCAGGAGTAAGCCCTGAGCACCACAGGGTGTGGCTCCAAACAAAACAAAGCAAAAAGATTTGTACCTCATTTCAAAATAGTCATAGAGAAAGATGAGTAAGCAGTCAAATGAAAAAAAGATCTATTCTCCCATCGCCCAAAATAACTTTGCTCACATTTCAAAATATGTTCGCTCGAGTTCTCTTTCTTATGCTTCTAAAGTTTTCTTTTTTGAACAGTGGAATCAGACCATATGTTCTGTTTTCTAATATGCCTCTGAAAATGAAATAATTACTTTTAAAATATCTTCCCAAGTCACAGCCTCATCTGGGCCTTGTTGGGAACCTGATATTTCCTGAAAGATCTTGCACGTAGGCAGCCAGTCATCTGCAGACAAGACATTGTTAATAATTTTTCACTTTTTGGGTGGTGGGGCTTTGGGGTCACACCCAGCAGTGCTCAGAGATTCTTCTGGCTCTATACTTGGGATCACATGGAGAGACCCTGGGACCATATGTGCTGTGGGGATAGAGCCCAAATCGACTGACTGTGTGCCAGACAAGTGCTTTACTGGCTGTATTATCTCTCTGCCCCCCGCAAACTTCTATTGTTATTTTAAAAATCTTTCTTCATGTCTGTGACTGTTACACGGAGGATAAAGCCCTGGTAGTGGGATTGCCTGGTAGTGTGGAAGCAGCTTCCAGATTTGGTCCATAGTTGGGGCTCTCTCTGAAGTATCCCTGCCATGCTGGCCCTGGCGTTGCCCTCACCTCCCTTCACCTGGGAGCCCCGGATGGAGCCGGGAAACGCTGAGAGTTTTTTTCTGAGTCAGACAGACAGGCCTGACCCCAGCTCGCCTGGTGAGTATCAGTTTCCCTTTCTGTACATGGGGACTTCCTTCTACGTGTCTTTCTTTTTTATTTTTTATTAGTAAAATACCGTGAGGTACAGTTGTAGACTTACAAATTTTGTGCTTGGGGTTCAGTTATACAACGATCAAATACCCATCCCTCCACCAGTGCCCATTCTCCATCACCACTGATCTCAGTATCCCTCCCCCCCTCCCCCCCTGCCATGGCAGGGCGAAATGAGTCAGAAAGAGAGGGACAGACATAGAAAGATTGCATTCATCTGGGGAACATAAAGTAACAAAATAGGAGACTAACACCCAAGAGTGGCCGAGATTAGTACCAGGAGGTTTGCTCCATGGCTTGGAGGCCAGCCGCACATGCTAGGGGAAAAGGCAGCTCAGATAGAGAAGGGAGCACCAAATAAAGGGTGTTGAGAGGATCCTCCCAGGATGAGAGATGCGTGCTGAGAGTAGACTATAGACAATATGATTGCCACTCCTTCTACGTTTCTGATGTGACTGTTGAGTAATTTCCCTCTAGAGGCACCCTGATCTATTCACGGTAGGGTTTCCTGCACACACCCTAACAATACCTCAGCCACCACCAGTGCATCAGCATATAGTCCCAGGGTCCTGCCTCACCCATCCCCTCACCATGATAGGCCCCATTATTTAAAAAATGCACATAAGATATTCAGAATTGGCTGTGTGTTGAGGAACGTTCATACGAATTGGGTCGAAACTTCTCCTGCCTCTCAGCTGTGCAAACCCTCTTTCAAGGCTAAGTCTGAGAAGATGCGCTCGGCCCTCTGTGAGGTGTGGGCCGCACTCCTGCTCCCAGCACACGGTCTGCTGATTTCAGTGCCTGCCCACCCATGGGGCTCATCACTGCTTCCCTGAGTGTGCAGGAATGGAGTGGGGGGTATGGGGAGGGGGAGGAGGGGGAGGGAGGGGAGAGGGCAGGGGGAGTGGGAGGAAGGAGAGGGGGAGGAGGAGGAAAGGGGAAGGGAGAGGAGGACACATGACTGTGTGTCGGTGGCACTGGGAGTGTTGGGGTGGGGGCTGGTTCTTGCACGTGTGTGGCTGGGAGCAGCCCTGGGTGGGACCGGCCTGTGCTGAGAGGCTGAGGGCTTTCCCGGGCCCTGTCTCAGGGTGCTGTCTCCGAGGAGCAGCCCTGGGCGTGGGGACCCTTGTCCAACACCTCCCTGCCCCTCACTTCTTTGCTGTGGGCCTGAAGATGCTTTTGTAGGAAGTTTCCTCCTGGGCATCCCCCGGCCTATAAAAGGCCTTTCATGGCCCACAGATGCCTCCCCGTTGCCAGGGTGATGGAGAGGTGGGCTCACAGAGCTGTGGGCCCACGTCCAGGACGGGGGTATTGGATGAGGGGATTCCCGGGCCCAGAGCTCACCCTCTGCCATTTGGGTGTCTTGCAGGCGTCATGGCCGGCTTCAACATGGCAGGCGACCTCAGGGAGCCTGCGGCCAGCATCCCCCTGGGCTCCCTCGCAGCTGTCGGCATCTCGTAAGTGCCCTCCTGGCGGTGGCTGGGGAGAGGGAGAGGAGCGCCTGGCAAGAGAGAAAGCGTCCTCGTTTGTTGCCGGTGGCCCAACTGTGACCATCCGCTTCGCATGCCAGCCTCCTTTGACACCCAGCCGGCTGGAAAATCCGCGTCTGGGCCCCCGAGGCGCTCCCTTCCCAGCCCACCGGGAACGCCGCGAGGGAGGGTCGCTCTCAGGGAAGGTCCTTTCTTCTCCCTTCCATCTGCTTCCCTTGGCCCCCACACCCCTATTCCAACTTGGGGATTTTGGGGGTTGGTAGTGGTGTTAGCCACAGAAGTTCCAGGGTCGTTGGAGGAGCTTGAACACGATGTGAGCACCCGGCTTAGCCCTCTGGGCCTCCGTGTCTTTCCTGTGGAGATTCTGCATGTGCCTTCTGAGGAGGAACTCAGCAACAGACCCCCTCAGCCCACTTGCCCCCCCCCACCCCCAACCCACGGGCTTCCTGGGCATAGTTCATAGGCCAGCAGGCCGGTCGACTGGGCACTGTTGCCTCTGTTTCTGACCTTCCAGAACCTTCTGGAATTCCCTCCATACCAGGAAACTGCTCTGCCTTTATCAGGGAAATGTGAAAACCACGGGCAAGACAATAGCCTGAGAAGTGAGAAGCGCCTGCGTTATTTTAACCATGCTACTTAGAAAAGATCAGGGTATCTATTTCTTAAGTGGCTCTTGGCTTTTTCCCAGAGCTGGACACAAAGCTGGTTTGAATAATGGCAATTTTCCTTTGCTCTGCAAAGCAATGTGAAGGTACCAGAGAACTGGTGTGGGGACGGAGAGAAAGGGTTTGGTGACGGCAGGGGCTGGGCCCTGGAGGAAGCTTTGGCCAGATGGGAACGAGGCTGCAGGGCCGTGTGCTTCTTCAAGGTCATGGGCAGCAGGGGACAGACCCAGGTCACTGCTGGTCGTGTCACGCTTGGCTTGGCTCTGTTGTCCCGAGCCAGGAAACAGCAGGACCCTGAGGCCTTGTTCTGCTGCCGCAGGCTGAGGGGCTGAGAGATGAAACAGTGGCGCTTTGGGGAGGGGCAGGAAAGCTCATAGCTGGTGTCGGAACACTGTCTGTGTGCAACCCTATCATTAGTAGCATAATAGACCACAGGACCTAAAATAAGATACATTTTTTTCAAATGCAAAAATAAAAAGAAATATTCTGAAAAGTAACATACGAGCGCCCCTCCCCTTGCGCCTCAGCGAGTGGGTTGGCGGGAGGCAGGCAACGGGAGCAGCTGCCCTCAGGTTGGCTGTCTTGCAGGTGGTTTCTGTACATGGTCTTTGTCTTCCTGCTGGGCGCCATCTGCACCCGAGAGGCCCTGCGCTATGACTTCATGATCGCTGAGAAGGTGGGTGAGTCCCGCACTGCCCAGCAGGCACTTCCTGGGGGCTCTGCTTCTGTCACCGTCACAGAGGGCAGCTTCTGCCGGGTCCACAGGGGACTCCAGGTGGCCGGGCTAGGGCTGGCACAGCACACGGTGCTGTGCTGTGGGAGGCATGGGGACCGTGTACACGCTCCTGAAAAGCTAGAGAAGGTTGTTGGTAAAACAGCCCCCAAGGTGCAGAACCAAATCCTGAGGGCATTGTCGTTTTTCACGTCTAAAGTCTGGACAGAAACAAAGAGTCTGGCTGCCTGAAAGCCTGCTGCTCAGCTAACGCTTTCCCCGACAGCCCTTCCACATTGCTGACAGGAAGCAACGGGGAGGAGGACTGAGGAAGCCCAGGCAGAGACAAGCAAGGCCTCCCGCTGGCCCTGGGGCCCTGAGAGCTCCCAGCAGCCATTTGACTCCAGTGTCTTTATTTCTAGAGCTGAACAGATGAGGGGATTCCTCACCTCCACAGACTCCCCTCAGCCCACGGCCTCGCGTCAGCCAAGGACACCGGCTTGGTATCCCTAGAACCTGAGAGAACAAATTTTACAGATGCCGTTCTGGAAATCGCCCGCCCCTCCAAAAGTCAAACTTCCCTTAAATTCCTGGAGGAAAAGTAGACTGAGGATCCTGAGAAGTTGGCTTATCCTAGAAATGTCAGGCTTTCCTGGCTGTCAGAGAGCGGTGGTTGGGTGAGGGGGTGTGTCAGACAGGTCACTCCTCCTCTCAGAGTGAGCCCGGGGCAGGGAGGTTGCCCGCCCCAGGCAGAAGTCGAGGCTTGACCCTCTGGGGCTGCTTCTGGGCTGGTCTTCCAGAAACCAACAGCGATTTCTAGAAGATGTGTGGTCCCCGTGTCAAAGGTGACAGTGTTCTCTGGAGCTTTTTAGGTGGTGGAGGGCAGCGCTGAGGTGGGGTATGGCCCTCCCTGCAGGGCCCAGGACCAGTATCATAGGAGCTAGGTGACCGGCCTTGAGGCCGCAGGACACCCGGCAGCTTTTTCTCCAGAGCCCTCCATGTCCATACTCAGCCAGCCTCGCTGCCCTCTCTGTTCAGCATGGACCCACACACCATCCCCCTGGGGAGAAATGCCCACTCTGTTCCTTATGGATCATGGCGGCCAAGTGAGAGGAGAATGTGACCGAAAGCTGAACTGTGGGTGGATGTGTGGGACCAGGGCAGAATCAGAGAACTTGGGCCAGGGAGATGAACCAGGGATGTCTCAGGCTGCTGAGATTAGAAGGGTCTCGTGATGTGTCACTCAGTTAGGTCAAGGGGCCACAAGAGCTAAATGAGGTCAGATAGGCACCACGTAAATGACTTCCAGGAGTACAGACCTTGATGGGGGGAAATATGCTATAGTCGGATCGTGAAACCTCTTTGAAGCTCAGTGATTGTTGGGATAGAGCCCCACAGCAGAGAGATGGGGCTGTTTCCATTGGCAGTTCCTAAAGAAGAACCTGGAGTAGTTCACACCCCAGAGAGATTTTCAGAAACACAGAGCACTTTTTAAAATTTATTTTCTCTAGGCACTGTGATTTACAAAGCTTACACTGTGACTTGTAATAGAATTCCAGGCATTCAGTTTTCAACTCCAAACCTGCCACCTGACCCAAGGTTCCTCCCCTCTCTCACCCAAATTCCTTAGTAAATTCTTTTTTTTTTAAGTTACTCATTATAGTTTGGGTTACATGTTTTCAAGTGTTGAATTTTATGGGTCTTATCCACATATCCACATAATCCACCAAAGTGTCAAGTCCAACAGGTGTCTGTTGTCCTTGACCAATGCCCTCATGTTATCGTCAGTGCCCTCCTCATTACACCGATTCTCCCCCACCACCATTACACACACACTCCCCGTCCTTGGCATTCTCATCTCTGTGATCTAGGACCAAGGATTATGGTTTGCCGTTATTTAATACCTTCCATTCTCTTGTCTTGTTTCTCTAAGTATTCCACATCTAAGTCAGAATAATCATTATTTGTCTTTTCCCCTATGGTTTATTCTTTCAACATGGTATCCTCCAGTTCCATCCAGGTTATAGGAAGCCCACATCTTACAACTGTAGCAAGATTCATCTTATAACGGCACAGTACTCCATTGTGTACCACAATTTCTTATTCATCCATTTGTCATTGTATATTTGTATTGTTTTAAACATCCTGATTCTTGTATTAATTGCTGCAGTGAACATAGGTGTGTAGATAGACTTCAGAATTAATGTTTTTGTCTTTAGGGGGTAATACCGAGATGCTAGATCATATGGGAGCTCTATTTTTAGTTGTTTGAGAAATAGAGAGTGCTTTGTGATGGCTCAAACAGATGCATGGCCAAGGACACTTTAGTTTTCCCCCTGAGGAACTGTGAACACACATCTGCCCAAATTAATTCTCACTTCCAGCTGCCCCAGCAGTTAGCCACTTCATAGTCCCATGTGACACGAGAGGAGGAAATCCTCCGAGAGCTGCAGCACAGCCATTTACTGTGTTGATGAAGACCTGCCCTGTGTCACCACTGTTATGCCATGTTAAAATCACGCCCTCATGCCTCCCCAGGGGAGAAAGGGCTGTTAGAAAGGTTGAGGAAGGATTCAGGCAGGAGGAGGACAGTAAGGAGTTTCTAGAATTTAGCCAGACATGAAGATCGGCATTTGCTTTCATTTTGAGAAAATGGACTGGACCAATAGTTTCGGAGCAAGAGTGGCAAGTGAGCCAGAACCATAAGGAGCTCCTGTCTGCTGGCTGGTGGAAGGAGAGTGAGGGGATCAGCGTAGGCCAGCATGTGGCCGCATGGCGGCAGCTTGGACCCCTGCAAGCCGGCACGGAGCACAGCAACTGCTCTGTCTCTGCTCTTCGTGGCGGTGTCTCGTGGGCCCGTCATACACTGAGCATCAGCCAGCACTTCCGCTTCCCACATCAACACTGCGTTGGCCCCAGATGTGTGAGGGTGTGGAGCAAGGCCTCCGGACCAGCAGGAGAGACAGGATGGGAGCTCTCCATCAGGCTGAGGTTCTGCAGAGCTCGAAACTGCACCCACTGTGGCGAGAGGCACTGGGGGGAGGGGGAGGGGGCATGGAGGAGGGAGGCTAGATTGAGTCTTAAGACACCACTGGGAGTTTGAGACTTAACCAACAGTGAACGCTTAGCAGTGTGGTCAGAAGGCTCGGCAGGCTGGGGAAACCTGCTGATGCAGACTGAACGGGGCGGGGGGGGGGGGCGGCCTGGGAAGGACACGGCAGAGGCAGCCTTGGCTCTCTGTGCTGGAGAGGGCATGATGGGACGCACTCAGGGAGGGGCTTCCAGCAGAGGCCGGGGTGTTTCCCCATGGGTGGAGCTGGGCAGCGGGCGGCTAGTTAGCGTTGCAGCTGGCCAGTGTTTCTCAAGTTGTAGTCCCTCGGCCATTAGTATCCGCATGCCCCTGGGAAATGGGATATCTGAATTCTTGGGGCCTCACCCCAACCTACTGGAACAGAAACCTTGAAGTGGGGTCCAAAAATCTTAGTTTTATGATTTCTCTCTCTGTCTCCAGATGAGTCTAGCGTACACTCGATTTGAGACCTACTGGGTGATACAGGGCATGCTGAAATAGCAGGGCAGGAATGAAGGGGGCAGCCACATGCAGGAGGTCGGATGCAGAGCAGCAATGCCCACCTGTTTACCCTGTGGGTGGGGCACCTGTCCTGCAAACAACTCCACAGGCCATTCGCTGCAAATTCACTCTCAATGAAGGGAGAAACCAGTGGGGTTTGTGTGTGTGTGTGTGTGTGTGTGTGTGTGTGTAGGATGGTTGGGCCACACCTGACAGTACTCATGGCTGGATTCTAGCTCTGTGCTTAGCATCACTCCTAGTGGTGCGTAGAGGACCGTGTGTAGTGCTGGTGCTGAGCCCAGCCAAGGCATTATCTCTACTAAATCTTCATCCCTCAGCCTTCTGGCTCCTGCAGGACCAGTGGCTGAGACATGCTGATTCAGAGGGTGGTGAGAGTGGGACAGGGAGTGCAGGGCAGACCTCTCCTGGCATCTTCTCCTCCAGGTATCCCTGGTGGGCGTCCTGTTCCTCCTGGGCCTTTACATCTCGTCCCTGGCCTCCTGCATGGGGGGCCTCTACGGGGCGCCCCGGATCCTGCAGTGCATCGCGCAGGAGAAGGTGGTACCTGCTCTGGCCTGCCTGGGCCAAGGGGTAAGTGGCCTTTGGGGAATTGTACACTTGTCTGGGAGCTTGATGGGGGGTCGGGGGGGCATGAAATTGACTCCATCTTTCTAAGCGAGCCACCATTCATGCTCTCTGGGTCACAGTGTGAAGGCAGAGCTATTTCTCTCACCCGTGTTCTCTGGGCTCAGCCTCCTCCTGAACATGGGTCCCCCTCTGTCAGCGTGGCCTCTTGCACTCAGTGTCCGGGGACATTGGACAGTGGGCAGGTCACGTGCCTTCCATGTGGCCACATGGTGATCCCTAAGTGCAGAGCCAGAAGTGAATCCTGAGCACAGCTGGGTGCTACCCACAAACAAATGAAAGCCCCTCAAATAGATTCAGTTATTTATTTATTTATTTTTATATTTATTTATTGAATCACTGTGGGAAAAGTTACAAAGCTTTCAGGTTTAAGTCTCGGTCATGCAGTGATCAAACATGTTTCCCTTTACCAGTACTTTTCACCACCAAGAACGCCAACATACCCCCTCAACCCTCCCATTGCCTGTGAGGCAGATGAATTCTACTTAATTCTCTATCTACTTTGATTACATTATTTTGAAAGAAGATGCACCATTATTGTTCAGAGTTTACACCCAACAATCAGAACTGCTGAAAAGGCATTGTGAAATAATTTGTTTTCTATAGCTGGTTATGAGAACCATATGATGTTACGCGGTCGCAATAGCAGCCACACGATTTTAGATTTCTGATATTTTACTTGTTAAGCCTGGAGGGATTTCTGCCAAGAGCCAGATAATTACGAGATTGGTTTCTGTGGCTCTGGAGCCATGGCCGTGCCAGAGAGCCACTCATGGGGGACAACTCGTGACCTCGGTAGGGCATGAAGGACGAACTGGGAACAACCCCCTTCCCATGAGGTTGCAGTTGCCCCGTAGCCGCTGGCTCATACCTGGATTTCCAAAAATCTCCAAGGCGGCCGCCATCTTGCTGCCCAGGGGGAATAAGGCAGAAGGGAGCAACACCCCTTCCCTCCCGGGGAGGCATGGCACCGTGGATTAACACATAGTCTATTCAGTTTTCTGCCGCAAGCTTCCAGGCTCTGCATTAAGTCCTTGTGCCTCTGGAGCCATGGCTGTGCTGGAGAGCCGCTCGTGGAGGGCAACTCGTGACCTCCATAGGGCGTGAAGGACGAGCCGGGAACACCCCCATAGATTCAGTTATTAATGTTACAAACCCGTGCTCCCTCCAGAAAATGTTGTTCTTAAAATAAAAATAGAAAATGTCAATATAATAATTACACATCTTAACATTTCTCTTGGCAGTTAAAGACAATTAAACACATTTACAAAGTATACTTAATCTGGAAGGAGCACAGGCCCCCCACTGAGCATTTCCAAGTATGGCACAAAGATGATCCCAGAGCAGTGGGAAGCTCTCTGTCCTGGGGTCTCCTTCCTGGGCGTTGGCCAAGGACATTTCCCCCACCTCTGCCCCGGGCCCTGCTTGTCAGCTGCTGTCATCTCTAACATGCTGGGCCCCTAGAGCCCCCCACCCCTCCTGTCCCAGAGATGCCCCCACCCCCTCCTGTCCCACACATGCCCCCACCCCCTCCCATCCCCAGTCCTCCTCTTGCTGGATGCCACAGGCCAGAGCACCCTCCCCACCTCTCCCCTGCCCCTAGGTCAGCACCCCTGGGTAGGAGCAGTGAGTGCCCGCTCTCCAGCACCTTTCAGGTGGAAAGGCTGTGATTCTGTTTTACATATTTTTATTAAGTAAAATAAACATAGAGTTCAAAACGTTAAAGTGATATCAAGGGCATACGTTGAGCTTTTTCCTCGAATCATACATTTTCACTTTCCCCTCCTCTCGGGTTACCAGTACCTGTTTTAGTAGCTATTTTGAATCCATCTCTTTTAACCAAAAGATAGTGTTCTATACACCTGGTTTTATACTTTGCCTTTCTTCATTTAATACAGATTGGAATGGGCTGGAGTGATAGCACAGCAGATAGGGTGTTTGCACTGTACATGGCAAACCCTGGTTTGATCTCCAGTACCGTATCTGTTCCCCAAGCACCACCAGGACTGATCCCTGAGCACATGTGAGCGTGCGCATGCGTGCGCGAGCACACACACACACACACACACACACACACACACACACACACAATGTATATGTATGCATATATATAAAGGTAAAGGTAAAGGCCCTCCCGTTGTTCGTCGATTTGCTCGAGCGGGCCCAGTAACGTCTCCATCGTGAGACTTGTTGTTACTGTGTCTGGCATATCGAACACGTCACGGGGAGCTTGCCAGGCTCTGCCGTGCGGGTGAGATACTCTCGGTAGCTTGCCGGGCTCTCTGAGAGGGGCGGAGGAATCGAACTCGGGTCGGCCATGTTGGCCGCTTGTAAGGCAAACGCCCTACCGCTGTGCTTTCGCTCTAGCTGCATATATATAAAATCTTAAAAGTCTAACTTCATACTAGTGTAGAGAAAACTGTCTCATCTTTTTAAATTTAAATTTTACTGCTGAAGTAACATTGTACTGTAGCATCTAAGTTTCAGGTTTGTATCACTAAAAATCAGTATATTCATGTGAATGGATTTTCTCATTCTGTTTTCATTGTAAGGACAGACCATAGTTTATTTAGCTGGCTCCCTTAAGCAGTGCTGCAAAGAATGATCCTGAGTGTGTGTTTGTGCAATCTTGTGTATGTGCACATGCTCCTACTATTTAAATGTCCGAAGCAGGTTTGCTGGGCCAAAGGTAAATGCGTTTTTTATGTTTTTCTTTTCTTTTTGGGTCACACCCAGCGATGCACAGGGGTTACTTCTGGCTCTGCACTCAGGAATTACCCCTGGTGGTGCTCGGGGGACCATATGGGATGCTGGGAATTGAACCCGGGTTGGCTGTGTGCAAGGCAAACACTCTACCCGCTGTGCTATTGCTCCAGCCCCAAATGCGTTTTTAATTTTGATATTTACTGCTTGAGCACCTTCCCTGGGATTTGCAATTTTTTTTTGCTTCTACAGCAGTGAGAGTTCCTTGTCCTTAGGGTTGGGGCCAAGTGTGTGCCCACCTGGACCCCGTCCCTACCTTCAGCACAGTCCAGGCACGCCGCCACCCCCTCCGTGCAGATGCCACCCGCCCTCCAGCATGTGCACTCTCCTCTGGGGCCTGTCCTCTCAAAGTCCATATTGGGGAGTGGGGTCCCATGCGGGGTTCCAAGGGGGATGGGAAGAAGAGGGGTGAGCCGGAGGCTGTCCCTGGCCGGTGTCCAGGGAGGAACTCGGATGAGTGCCAGATTCCCAGCTTCAGCCTCTCCTTCTTCACTGCCCTGAAATGGATGATAAACAGTATTTGATTGAACAATTTGTTCACCAGGTTTATAGTTGTAAATATTTAGACGCAGACCTGAGGACTGTCATTTGGACACTTGCCCTGGGCACCGAGGTGTTTGTAAAAATGAAACAAACACAATTTATTTCTCTCCTGTTTTGAAACAAAACCCGCCTCAGCTCATTCGCGAGTGTAAGTTTTTGCAAAGCATGTAATAAGTGCTTCTTAGGGTACTTGTGATTTAATGTCCTCCTCCTAATATGAATGAGGCTGAACATTGCGCCAGTCGCTTGACTCCAGTGATTGTTGGTCATTTGCTTCTCAGTGGCTCAAAAGCTCCTTGTAAGACGAACTCCTTGTGAGGTGAGCAACGAGTATTTTTTCCTAGTTTGTTACTTGGCATTCAGCTTCAGCACCTTCCCACCACCCAGCCCCCCAAAGCTTCTTTACCTGTGGTTAAATCTTTTTAGCAATTTTTGTTTTTCTTTTAATTGGGAAGATAAGAAACTTTATAAAGCATATTAAATATCTAAAAGTACAGAAAAGGTCCTAAAACTGATAGGCACCATTCAAAGAATAGACGTGAAATTAACGTCCTTATAACTTCCTCCCAAGAATTATGGCGGCCCCCTGGCTCTGTCTGTCTGGAGGAGCTGCTGCCTCAGTTTCCCTGATATTAATATATGAACATTCTTGCTTTCTTTGGAGTTTTACTCAACAATAGGTGAACTTTTCCTGAAAAGAGTCAAGTAGCAAATGTTACAGATTCTGCCGGCCACATGTCCTCCTCACAACCACTATTTGTCCTTAGTTCCAAAGTCAGAGGGTGCCACGGAGGGTAGGGGTGACTGTGTTTCAATAAAGCCTAACTCATGGTGAGTATGATGGTAAGTGCATGTAGATTTTTCCTGTCACAGAGTATCCTCATTCACCCATTCTCCTCTCCCTTCTCTCTGTTCTTGTTGATGTTGTCATTGGGGTTCACAGAGTCCTGGCTGTGGTGCTTGCACATTGTTTTTATTGATTTATTTGGGGCTTGGGACACACCTGGAAGTGTTTGGGGATTACTCCTGGCTCTGAACTCAAGTCTCCTGGAGGTTCTTGGGAGACCCCATACAGTGCTGGGAATCGCACCTGGGTCAGCCATGTGCAAGGAAAGTACCCTGCCTATTGTCTATGCTCTGGCTCCCGTGTGTGCACATTTAATGAAGCCAGACGGCTTGCAGAGACCACACTTTAGATTGTAGGGCTTGCTCGCAGGCCTTGGTAATCACCAAGTTTGGTACTCACCAAAAGTTTGTTTGCATGCCTGCAGCTGTGTGTGTGCACACACTTGCCAGGGCTTGCACTCGCAGTAGGAACACAGCTCAGGGTTGTGGGGGTTGCTGTGGGACTCACACACCAACACAGCTCAGGGTTGTGGGCGTTGCTGTGGGGCTCACACACCGACATACTGATAGAACTCAGGGTTGTGGGGCTCACATGCTGCTTGCCAAAGGTTGCTCTTCCTGCCTGTGTTGCTGCCACACCTTTAAATTCTGGTTGGTCCTCACCAGGAGGTCGCAGCCCCTTGGGTCGTGCTTGCACACTCCTTGCTCTGATATGAGGGACGTTGCTTGTGGCATTGGGGCTGTAGGCTGCTGAGCTGCCCAAACTGCGCTCCGCACATGGGGACACTGAGGGCTTGGACTCGCGGCCCTCCACCCCAAGGCAGGCAGGGCACATGCAGTTCCTCCAGACCTGTTGTTACTCTTCTCACTTATTTCCCAGCTACTTACAACTGGGAAACTATTCTCAGCTGTGGGCATACATAAATAGATGGTGACCAGATCTGGGCCAGGGACCATCATTTGCCAGCCCTGGTTTATTTCCTCCAAAGACATAGCTAAACAGAATAGTTTGATTTTGTCTGTTTAAAGCTTTACATGGATACAGCAGGCTTCTTTCATGCAGTCTCATGCTCATGAGACTCATTTAATTTTTTGCTTGGAGCAGCAGCTTTTTGATTATCATCCTTCTATGGCATTTCCTTACTTGCTACAATTTACTCTCCATTCTGCTGTTGAGGGGTTTGGGGACTGTTACGGACAGTGTGGTGGCAGTTCTGTTCAGTGGACTGTACGTATGTAGAGATCCTTCAAGCTCTATACCCACTGGCAGGACTGAGAAATTGTGAGATATGTCCTGTCATTACACCAAGCTCTTCCCAAAGTAGTTGTAATGATTTATGCCATCTGCCTGGACAAATGCTCCTGTTCTTCCTGTTTTCTTGCCAATATTTGGTAGTATCAGCCTTTAAACTTTTTGCCAGTGTGGTGGATGTTTATGGTATCTCTCTGTAGTTTTCCTTTGCATCAGCTGAGATTGGGCATTTTTCCCACATGCTTACTGTGCTTTCTTTCAGTCCTTGTTTTTAATGAGCTGTTTTCTTATTATTTTGTATGCAGTCTTTACCTGCTCTGGATACCCTTTGTCAGTTATATGTGTTGCATATATCTCCCCCTTTCTGTGGCCTGCCTCACTTTTGTAGTGGTAAACAAGTTAATTATTTGATTACTTTATCATTTTACAACCCACCTTTATCAAGTGCTGACCTGAATACCTAGCATTTCCTCTGTCTTAAGGCCCTTTTTATTTCTGTTTTTGAGTCACAGCAATACTCAGGTCTTACTCCTGGCTCTGTGCTCAGGGCTCACTCCTGGCAATGTTCAGGGGACCAGGTGGTGCCAGAATAAAATTTGACCTCCAGAATGCAAAGTATGCACTCAGCCCACTGAGCTATCTGTCTGGCCAAGACCCATCTTAATTCCCATTATTTTCTCAGAATACTTTTTCCCCCTTGGTTTTATTGTTACAGAACGCTAAGCCAGCATAGTAAATATACCCCAAATAGGATTCTCAAATTTCTTCTCCCTACCCCTTTAAAAACTTTTTATTCTTAGGTTGTAGAGGTGTTTCCTATCAACAGGGGTTCTGAGGGCTGGGGAGACTGTGTAACGGGCAGGACACTTGACTTGCGAGCAGCTGACCTATATGCCCCTCTCCCTGGGCAGTCCATCTGCTCTCCCAAGTCCCACCAGGAGTGGTCCCTGAGCATAAAGCCAGGAGTAAGATGTAACCACTAGAAAACCATAAGAACTCCCCCCCCCCACACACACACACCAAACACACACTAAACCCCCTGAAAACAAGCTTCCAGCCTTACAGACTCAGGTTGGTGATGTTGCCTTCTTCAACCTGTGACACCTTTGTATGCATGCATGTGTCTGTGTCTATGTGTATGGTTAGGCAGGGGGGTGGGAGGGAGGTCACACATAGAAGTGGTTAACTACTCCTGGCTCAGTGCTCAGAGGTGGCTTCTGAGGGGCTTCTGCTAGCAAAGCCTGCACTCAACCCTCCAGCCTCCAGAATCTGGGGTGCCCCTAGTAAGGGGCATGCAGCTGGAGGAAGGCCATGGAAGGTAGAAGGGCGGGATCGGGAAGAGGCACCAGCAGGAGGCAGGCAGTGGTGAGACCCTTGCGGACACTGGAGTGAAGTGAGAGGTGGACAGTGTGTGTGTGGGGGGGGAGGTAGGAGCACTATGGGTCTCACCTAGCTGAGCTCTTTTTCTGGGACACACCTGATAGGGCTTTGGCTCTGTGCTCAGAGGTGATCACTGGCAGTGCTCAAGGGCCCAGTTGGGGCACCGTGTGACAGGAAGGGCCGTGCCTCCTCTTCTCTCTCTGGGTGCTAAGGGTCCAGCGGGGGCCACCGTGTGATGGGAAGGGCCATGCCTCCTCTTCCCTCTCTGGCTCAACTCAGCACATCTCCGGTTTCCGTGGCAGATGCCAAAGCCCAGTGACAGAGAGAAGGTGAGCTGCGTGGCAGCCTGGGCTCTCCAGCTCCCCGTACTCCCAGTCCCTGACGCCGCTTGTGCCTGAGGAGGTCGGTGTTAGCTTGTGTCCAGCGGATCACAGGCATTCGCTCACTGCGCGGAGCCCGGCGTATGCTGGGCACATTCCCCAAGCCTGAGCACAGACGGGGGGTGGGGAGCTGGAGGGGGGGCTGGCGTGGGGCTGTTTCTCTCCTGCCCTCCGCCTGAATGGCCACGGGCCTGTGTGCTCTTTTTCTCCCTCAGAAAGGCCCGAACAAGACACCTGTCGCTGCCATCTGCCTGACCAGTGTGGTCACCATGGCCTTCGTCCTGGTGGGACAAGTGAATGTGTTGGCCCCCATTGTCACCATCAACTTCATGCTGACTTACGTCGCCGTGGATTACTCCTACTTCTCCCTGTCCATGGGTCCCTGCAGCCTTGTGGACAAGGAAGCCGTGGGAGCTGCCCGCACCTCTGAGCACCGGCTCGTGGAGAAGACGGCCCAGTACGGCTCGGGGGGCGTCCCCGGGGGCCTTTCTGCAGGCACCTTGCTGCAATTCACCAGGGACATGGACCAGCTCCTGCAGCTGGCCAGGAAGCAGGACAGCTGCCAGTCCAGGCGGGCAGAGAGTGATGGTTCCCCTGACGGCCAGACGCAGAAGCCCAGAAAAGCCACTGTGCAGAGGCTGCAAGAGAGCTTCCTCCTGGACTTCACAGCCCCCAGAGGTGTGGGGGGACAGCCCCCTGCCTCTCTGGACAGCCAGGAGTTCTACTGGAGTGAGCAGACCTCTGGGCCTGAAGGGGCAGGTGAGGGACAGTGTGTCCCTGGGCCGGGCAGCCCAGCGCCTCTGACTGCCGATGGTGAGTACTGCAGTTGCGCGGATCCTCCTGGGGGATGGTGAACCTGCAGCCGGCTGGGGCGCCTCCTCTGTGGCTGCTCATCTGTGATGGGTGTCATCTCCTAGCGTGGAGCCATTTCATTTGAAGCATTTTGGAAATCGTTGTTCGTATCGCTGGATTCGTTTACTTTAGAACTTGTATTCGGATATCAGCTGGATTTATAATTCTGCTGTAACTTTATTTGCTATTTAGTTTGGCCTCTCAAGCAGTGCTCAGGAGGTCAGGGCCCCCCTAGCATTCTCTGGCAGGAGGGCCAGTGCCCAGGACTGCAGACGTGGTGGTGCCGGCTGGGAGCACTGGTGGGGGAGGCCCTGGGCCGCCCCGTGGTACTCAGTGAGCCAGATGTGGTGTGGGAGGTGTTAGACCAGAGTGTGCCACATGCTTCTTAATCCTCTTCTGTCTCCCCAGCCCCTGTTATGATGTGAAAGAGAAATTTCCATCTATTCTCTGTGTTAGGCCTGGGAATCATGATAGTAGTAGAATATTCACTTAATTTTACACAAAAATCAGCGGAGGCTTGATGCCAACGTGTCTGGCACCTGTTCCTTCTTCTATGAAAGTGGGAATGTGGCAGGGCGTCCCCCTAGCTCTGTGGCCTGTAGGAGAAGGGGAATCACCCAGAGCAGGTACAGATGGGTGGGAAGGAGCGCAGTCTTCTCCTGGCTCTCTCCAGCCCAGAGCCCAGAAGCCTGACTCTCGCGAGAGCCTCCTGGGAGGAGACGGGGCCTCACACTCAGAGCCTCCCACCTCCTTGGTGTTCGACCTTTACTGCTTCAGGACGGAATGGGTACTGTCACCATTCTATGTCACTACTGAAGATGGGTGGTTCAGTGGGGTTGCAGAGAAGCTCCCAGGCGGGACACCTCAGCCACGCCTGTCTGTGTTAGAGGCCAGGACCTGCCCTGGAGCTCTGCCGAGAGAAGACGCAGAGACAGGAAGGCAGGAGGTGTTGAAAGACAGGCCTTTTCTGCTTCCATAAGCCTGCTGCCCCTTCTTTACCTCCAAATCGGTGGTAGCTTTTTAATGGAAGAAACATTAAAAAAAGAAAATCCACAGAGGGACTGGAGAGGTAATACAGCAGGGAGGGCGTTTACGTTGCACGTGGCCAACCCACATTCAGTCTCTGGCATCCCTTATGGTCTCCTGAGCAGTGCTAGGAATAATTCCTGAGTGCAGAGCCAAGAGTAACCCTTGAGCCTTTCTGGGTGTGAGCCCCCAAAACAATATTATCTGGGAGGGATTAAGTTATACCTCATGGTACTCGAACTCCTTCTGGCTCTGTGTTCAGGGACCACTCCTGGTGGTGCTGAGGACTGAACAAGGGGTTCGTCTGACTGACTGAGGTCAGCCACATGCAAAGCAAGTACATGACCTCCTGTATGATTTTTCGAGTCCCTGTTTTGGTTTTTCATTTTATTTTTTTATTTTAGGGCCACACCTAACCATACTCAGAGTTTACTCCTGACCCTTCACCCAGGGGATCACTCCTGGTGGTATTTGGGGGACTATATGCAGAGTCCAGATAGAACTGGACTCTGCCATGTACAATGCAAGTACTGAACTCCTCTCCTATATCTCTGACTCTGCTTTTGTTTCTTTTATTTTTTATTAAGACACCATGACTTACAGGGTTGTTCATAGTAGAGATTTTTTAGGCATACAGTGTCCCAGCACCGTTCCACCACCAGTGTCTCTCTCCCCCTACTAATGTCCCCAGGTTTCTTTCCACACCCAAAATGCCTCCTTGGCAGTTATATAACTTGCTCCAACAAAAAAGGTAGTGGCAAATGGAGTTATCAGAAAACAAACCAATGAAAGTCAGTATGTGATGATTAATTGCTGAGTAATTTTTTGTTTTGCTTTTGGACCCCACCAAAACTGGTTGACTGCAGGCTTACTCCTGGCTCTGCACTCAAGTCATTCCTGGCAGTGGTCAGGGACCGTATGGGATGCTGAGGATAGAGTCTGGGTTGGCTGCATGCAGGGCAAGGACCTTACCCGCTGTACTACCTCTTTGTCCCCAGCTAAATGATTTTAATCAATCTAATTCAGATGTTAATTCATCACTGGAAATATGTAAAATCTCTTAGGAGTAAACATACCTTTCTCAGTCTACTAGAGAACAACCACTAGTGAGTGCCGTACTTAATGCCACATGTTGGAAGTGTGTCTTGTTCCTTAGAGTAGCTCTTCGAAGGCTCCTTGCAAAACTGGCTCCAAGTCTATGAATTCCCTAAGTCTGCCCATGAAACTCTGTATTCTTTCTTTAAATCAAATGATAATCTAGCTGGATAGAGTGTTCTTGATGGGGTGTTCATTTCACTGAGTTTTTGTACTATTTCCCTCCACCCTCTTCTGCTCACAGAGTCATTTGGTCGATCTGTTGTACATTAGAGTCTGGCAAACTCCCCGTGGCGTACCAAATATGCCAAATACCAGTAACAATGATGGGTCTCATTCTCCTAAAGAGCCTTGAATATAATCTCAGGGTTAGGATGAAAGAGACATTACTGGGGCCTGCTCGAGGCAATCGACGAATAACAGGATGATGAAATGAAATGAAATGAATGTTGTACATTATATGGGCTTTCTTTGTATGCAAGTTCCTTTTTGATCTTGCTGCTTTCAGTAGTCTGCCTCTATCTTTGGGTGTTTTCCATTCTGAGTACAGTGTGTCTTGGAGTTTTGCTAGTTGGGTCTATTTTCACTGGGACCTATCAGGCCTCTTAGATCCTGACACCTGTATTCCTCAACTCTTGTTCTTACAGATGATTTCTGTAACTATTGTTTCTTCATCACATTTGCCTTCCTGTTCTTCAGGGACTCTGATGATTCTTATACTGTCCTCTTGAACTCACCCTGTAGTTCTCCAGTGTGCTGTCGATGTCTTTTCAGACTATTTCCTACAGCCTGCTGTTTCCTAGTGGTCTCCTCATCTTGCAGCTCCTCAATCTTTTGCTCAGCTGCTGTTATTCTGCTGTTCAGAGCTTCTGCAGACTTTTTTTTCTTTTTGGGTCACACCCAGTGATGCACAGGGATTACACCTGGCTCTGCACTCAGGAATTACTCTTGGCGGTGCTCGGGGAACCATATGGGATGCGGGGAATCAAATCCGGGTCAGCCACGTGCAAGACAAATGCCCTACCTGTTGTGCTATTGCTCCAGCCCCTAGACTTTTTTTTTTAATCACTTACCGTAGTCTTCTTTTCTCTCATTTCCGACTGTAGTAGTTTTTTTCGTTTCAACGCTCGTGCTTTCTTGTGCTTTGCTGATTTCCGGTGCTTTTTTCCCCTTGAACTCATTGAGCATCCTCATCCTAGTGTCACTAACAACAGAATTTACTGCTGCTGTGTATGTCTCTGGGGATACTGTTCTCACTCATTGAGCTTGGCGGGGCTTCTGTGTTTTCCTCCATTGGTTTTCTAGTGTTCTTGCTGTGCTGGGGTGAGTGAGCCCCTGCTGGACACTGAGGGGTTAAGGCTGTCTTCACCGAGTGACAGAGAAATGGCTGTGAGCAGTGTCTTTTGTTGGGCAGGTCTGTTGCACAGCCACATAAGCAGGAGCTGCGGTGTGGGCCTGCTTGTACAGAGCAGGGGGGGCTTGCAGGAGGAACGGGCTGAACTCCCGCTCAGGCCCCCATGATGTCAGCTGGAGGCAGCCTTGCCTGGAATGGTGGAGCAATCTTGATGTTTTAATTGCTTGATTTTCTGTCATCATTTTTCTCTAACTGCTCTGGTAGGTGTCTCAAATACTCTTACTGCTGTTACCCACAGGTCTAAATTGCCTAGAAATGGATCCGACCCGTTTTCTGTTCTCCTCTGTACTGAGTATCAGGCCGGCTGTAAGGCATGTATCCTAGAATTCCTCTGTGTGTTCACGTCAGTGTCAGATCAAGGGACTAAATGAGTTACTGCGTGAAACACTATTGTAGACTATGCAATTATTTATTCATTGTGCTGCCCATGCATTGCCCAGAGGACCCTTCATCCCTCTCAGTGACCTTCAGTCATCAGGGCCTGCTTGGGCTGGGACACGGTGCTGCAGGGCCACAGAGTGGAGGGTCAGAGGACTAGAACTCACGCCTTGTAAGACATGCACCCCTGACCCCTGAACAGTCTCGCAGCCCCAGACCTTTTTGTCTGTATTGATTTATTCATTTGACCTGGTGCTCCCTGTATGAAGGTTTTTCCAATGTTAGGAATCTTGGTGTTGGTCAGAGGAAGACTCCCGTGCTCTAAACTGATGATGTCGACTGTCCGTCCGATTCTCCAGCCCATCCTGTGGCCAGGGCGCAGCCCAGGAGCCAGCTGAGCCAGTCAGAAAGCCCTCCTGTGCCTGGGAAACTGAACCCGGAGGATGGGGCTTCTGGGGAGCTCTCAGGGGGACGTGGCAGGCCCTGATCTACTCCTGTCTGGGCTTCAGGGTGCGGGTGGGCGCAGGCCTCTGACCTCTGCCTACAGAGTGTCCCTCCAACTGCTCCCTGCTGCTTTGACCGCTGTCCCTGGCTGCACAGGCTTGGATTCCTTTGTAGCCTCCCTCGTTCTCAGAGGCAGGCCAGGAAGTGTCTGTTTTATTGCTTCAACCCATAAAATTATGGGGCTTCTTCCCCCAATGGAGAGGAGGGATCAAACCACAACAGTCTAGATTGTCGTTATTTTTAATTTTCAGAATATTTGGTTGTAATCTGATTTGTCTTAACACTATTAGTTTTTAAAATGTGAGCTCTATCTCTTTCTTTATTTAATGGGTGCCAAGGATTACCATTTTTAGTTTTAGTTTTTGGGGGCCCAGGATACCCCAGGCAATGTTGGGGAGATCATATGCAGTGCCAGAGATTGAACTGGGATTGGCTGCATGCAAAACAAGCACCTTACACACTGAACTATCACTCCTCCATGGCTCATTTTATCTCTCTGATATTATTGTTGTTATTATTGTTATTATTTTGGGTCACACCTGGC